ACCCGCCACCATCCGAGCCTTCCCAGCTGACACGCCGGTCTTCGTGGAACAAGGGGAGGTCACACCATCGTGCCCTGTCTAAATTCTGACCCACAAAATCCATGAGCAAAACAAAATGAAAGTTTGAAGGTAGTGAGTGTGAGGGGTGGCCGCCCCCATCCCTGAAAGGCTCCATCTAGATGCAAAGGCAGCCCAGCCAGAGCAGGAATAGGGCCCCGAGGTTGGTCACGCCATATCAGCCACTGTTTCCCCGCAGACATATTGCAAGGAGCAACCTCAGGTCAAGTAAGTCTGGAAAATGCTGGATCACGTGAGTTTCTCAGCACGAGAGAGAACTTTCTACGCGCGGTATACATGCCCAAGAGGAAGAGAGAGATTATGAGCGGGCCAAGACATTTACTGCCTCCCCCCACTTTTAGTGAAAAGAGCCAGACTTTCCACTGAGAAACCACCCCTCCCCCTCCCTCAGCCCACTGAGCTGTTGTTAAAAATTACAGTCATTAGTTATAGATCGTTCTTTAGAAAGAATTTCTAAATATTTCTGAGTAGTTGAGTTGCAAAAGTTTCTCTTGTGGAGAGTCTGACTCACTCACACGAACTTCTTCCTGGTTCCCACAATGGCTTCTTCATGGAGAGAACTTGTCCCCAGGAGCACATAGGGGTGCGTGCCCGGGGGACCCCTCCAGGAGGACTCTCCTAGGACCCCAGGCCCAGCAGACCCAGTGGATGCTTATCAGAGGGGGGCCGACATCTTAATTCACCACAATCTTCCATCCCACACGGATTTTGCAAAAGTTGGTGTTCCTAAGGGGCAACCACTCAGAAAGTGATGGTTGAAATATCTTAATTTGTGTAAATGTTTTTTAGAAAACAAAGTGTGAAGGCTGCTCGTGTGACAGAATGTCTCATGAGCCCGTTCCCACGGGCTGCCCTTAGGTCCCAGCAGCTACTTGTCCAGAGGCAGCCACACACCTCAAAAGTCAGTTCAGCTCTAGGGCCCTAACGGCATTTTCTTTTCTTTTCTCATTTATTTTTGTTTTCACGTTTATTTATTTTTGAGAAAAAGAGACACGGAGCACAAGCAGGGGAGGGGCAGAGAGAGAGGGAGACACAGAATGCGAAGCAGGCTCCAGGCTCCGAGCTGTCGGCACAGCGCCCGACGTGGGGCCCGAACTCACGGACGGCAAGATCGTGACCTGAGCTGAGGTTGGACGCTTAACTGACTGAGCCCCCCAGGCGCCCCCCTAACGGCATTTTCTAAGCCCCCGATTATTCCTGAAGCACCTCGTCCCTGAACCCCGTCCTCTGCGGATGAAAGTGCTCAGGCCTCCCTCCTCTCCCTGAGAGCAGCTGAGGGAGAAGCGTCTTGTGAACCGTCCGCACAGGAGAGTGGAACTCTGGGGGAGAAGCAGACTCAGTCAAGTTTCCACATTTGGCCCTGATGAATCCTGGGCAGAAAAGGACTTGCTGATAAACAAAGTGTCTGGTTGCAACCTCGAAGGTTTCTAGAAAGCCAGCGATTGGCCCAGCAGCCGCCCTGCCCGGGTGTCACAGGCCAGCCACAGGCCTTGTCAGAAGGCCTCTCACACCGAGCTGTCCCGGGACACGAGTCGGCCCCGGCCCGCCCAGCATGGAGGGGCCCGTGCCTTCTTCCCCCGTCTCTGCGCTGAGGAGGACAGTCCCAGGACCGCGTGGTTCGTCTGAGGCTGCAGAGAGAGTGCACGTCGCCCATAGACGGAGCCTGGCGGGGGACCCCCCTCCCCCTGGGCTGGCCGGGGTCTGGGCCTCCCTGAAATGGACCGACTGGTCCTGGGTTGTTCACGGGGCGTGTCTCATGAGGCAACCTCCAACCGGACCAAACTGGGTCCCCCCGTGTCCCCGCTGTGTGTGTCCCTAAGGACCCAGCACAGTGAGCATGTGTGTAAGTGGAAGGATATGGAAGGATACACGACCCCATCGTGTGCGGCCGACCCAGGCCGGGGGGCCTTGCGCAGATCACGCCCAGCACTTTCCAGGATAGCGGGTGCTGTCCTTGCCGACCTCCCACTTGCTCCACACCCTCCCCACACTCCCCTCCATCAGCTCATGGGACCCCAAACAGGACCCCGGGCTTTAATAAAAACATAGCATGTCCCACATTTTCTCCAGGATAACCTATATGATCTGTGAGCCTCCGTACCTTTTCGCTACTGTTTTGGGGATGAGTGAAAAGCAAAACAAAACAAATCGACAGGCAAAAAACCCTTAAACTCCCAGCGCAGCATTGTTTTTTAATCCCCACCCCCTTGAAGAACCCAGAACCGAGTAACAGTGATGAAATATCTTACAGTGACTTCAACAAAAAACGGAGCGTGAACCAGCTTTTAAAAAGGCACTTTATTTTAATAAAGAATAAAAGAGATCAATATACGCTTTAAATGGATACAAAAATAAATATTCATTTAGCATATTCAAGATACACGCTTTACCATTCGTTTGAGCTAGAAACCGAAAGTCGCTGTTCTCTGATGTGATTTCAGAAAACGGGTCTGTTACCCCCAACAATGTGAGGCCGGCTCTGTCCGCCAAAGAGGAAAAGCCACTCTTGCCGCATTTTCCTATATTTTCAGGTGAATTCAAACACACCTATAGGGCCTACGACCATAAAGTCTCACTACATATGCCACGCCTGCGTCACCTTCGTGGAAGCAGCCGCGAAAGTGAACCAGTCTTCCTCGGCTTGGATTTTAAACCAGCGACTCATGGTTACAAGGGGGCCAGGCTGGCAATCTCGTCCCCCAGATCCCGGCTCCTCCCACACCTCAAGGTGAAAGCCGACAGGCGAGGTCCCTTCGTGCCCCGTCGCTGTCAGTCAGGGCTGGTGGCCACGAGGCTGGGTTATGAAGGAGAAAGAACGGGGTGACGGCTCTTCTCCCCCTCCCACCCCTGCTCCACAGAGAGTTGGGGGGAAAGCCCGCAGACCCTCCCCGACCCTGCCAGGGGTCCACACTGCAAGTGGGACGGCCTCGCCCCGGCCGCCGACTTCCACCCGCAAGGGCCGGCACCCGGCCGCCCTCTGCCAGTCCCAACACATCGCACGGGACACACGGGCGGGGAGGGGGCACCCCAATCCAGCGAAATACAACCGGCTTTTTTCCCAGAAAAAAACGTTTAAGTGCTTTTCAATGATGAAAGTGATTTCAGAGCGGCTGTGGCGACGGGGAAGGTCGACGGGAAGGCTGGCCTGCCGCTGCCGTTTTGACACATTGTGGGGCAATAAATGCGTCTGATTGGACAGGAAATAGCGTGACGTTCCTCTGGGGCTAAAACTGGGACTCCTCCCCTGGAGTCCCACCACAGGACTCCGTTCAAGAGTAGAATCCGGTGTGGCCCCAGGCCAGGGAGTCCGAGGGATGGGGAAGGCCTTGTCCCTGCCGCCATCCACCCCGTGACCAGGGCGGCGGTAAGAAGCCGACACCTCTCATCCGCAGTCCCCAAGCCACCCGAGCCGCGCCCACACGCTCACCACCGCCGGCTCGTCGATGGGTTGACAGAGTCAAAGGCACAAACCAAAATGCTTGTACAATCTACAATTACTTTTTGAATCTGTGGTTTCTATCCTGCTCACTTTATGTGAAAAAAAAAAATACATCAAAGCAGTTTACAATAGGACAATTGAAAGAATGACTATTTTTAAAAACAGGTCAAAACCATTTAGAAAGAAGAAAAAGTGAGGGCTCTGGGGTGATTGAATTACAGCAATGAAAACACACACACACACACACACACTTAGCTCGAAGCTTCCAGGCCACAAGGGCCCAGAGGAAAAATCTTCATTGTCTGGAGGTGAAAACATACCAGCTCACCTGGTGATGGAAGTGCCCTCCTGGCAACAGATCCCAGGAAGGAGGTGCATTCCTGCAACAAGCCAAGAGTTCTGTGTTCACTTGCTAAAGGGGGGCTGCTATCTAAGTTTTTCTAAACCTTATTAACGTGTTTAAAAGCAGAGACGCTCCACGCGGAATCAAGCGTATCAAATCACGAATCTATGGCTCTAACGCGAGGTACAGACAAAAAGCAGACTTGTTCTGACAAGTTGATCTCCTACTCCAATTTTTTTTTTTTTTTTTTTTTCCTGGAAGCAGCTATTTGCTAGTACAACTGAATGCCAAGTCTTTGGAAATATTGATTATCCCGAAATGCTGAAAGAATCTAGCAACTGATGATACTTAGGGGAAATGCAGGGAATACATGTTTTAATCACTGGTTGTATGTAGTTACAGCATCTGGATCGTTCGGCGCACTTTCCTACGTTTATACCTGAACAAGGGGCGTGACGCGACTCTGTGTCGAACATCAAGCCCTCACGGGACGCCCTTACTAAATTAAGAGCAGATGAAGCCCCGCCCCAGGTCAGAGGGAGCCACATCCTTAAATAATTACGACAGTAATTGTAATAACGAAACGCGAGACGCGGGCAGGACGGGGTGCCCGAGAGAGAGACTTAAACCGTGATCTGCTGGTTTTCTCTGAAAAAAGGTCTCTGGTGGGAGGCACAGATGTCTGGAAACATCCGGAAGACCTGGTCCGGCTGGGGCTCCTCGGGAGGCTGCACCATGGAGCCGGAACCGCAGCTCTTCCGGGCTTCCTCCACCAGCTGCTGGACGTAGAGCTGCTCGATCTACAGGGACGGGCACAGGTCAGACGTGGAGGTGGGAAGCCCGGTGGCCCCGCCTTCGGCCCTAGCCAGATTCTCGGATTACCCAGGCCGAAGCTGACATTGAGAACCTCCACGTGAGTCCCACACGAATGAGCCCCAAACAGGCGGTGCAAGGAAAGGGCAAGGGGTCTCCCCACAGGGTCCCGACCTGGCAGCCGGTGGCCAGAACTCCACCATTAGGGTTTCATTCCTTTGACTAGATTAAACAAGGGCTTGCAAAGCCCTAATCCGTTCCTCAGACCTTGAGGCAACTGAACCTTGCTAGAAAGGTAGCGTCTTGCTAGGAAGGGGGTTTTGACTTCAAACACAGACAAACAAGAAAGGCAGGGAGAGAACACAAAGATTGTGAGTCCCGGAACGTGGGAAGATGGCTCGGAACGGCAAGAATGGCAGACGGCAGGAATCCACCAGCCCCGCGTGGAGGTTCACCGTGCGCCCCGGGCCTGCCTCTGCCCACGGGTGGAGCAGCCCACTCCCTGTTCTGCAGCCCAAGCGCAAACTGGGTCCCGCCGTGCGGGCCAGGAGATCCGGCCCCGTGGCCAGAAGCCCCACGGCCGCCTGTTCCTACCTGCACGAGAATGAGTTTGGATCGCAAGGGAGTCATATCTGGAAACTCTTCTCCGAAGCACAGCACCACCCTGCTGTCGGGAAGCCGGCTCTGGTTGTTGTAGAACTGCTGGAGCTCTGGGGAGACAGGAGGGGGAGGGGCCCCTGTCGACGCCGCCGGGCCCCCGCCACGCTCTGTCCCCGGGGTTGCTCCCCGCGGCTGTCACACCTGAGCCCACCTTTCCGGGGCCCCTTCTCCAGGGAAGCCGCCGGGACTGCTCAGGCCGGGCGGCAGGAGAGGCCTGACCCCAGCTCTGGGCCGGCGCGGTCACGGGGAGAGGAGCAGAGAGCTCTGGGGACGCAGAGAAGGCAGCGGCCACGGCACTGCAGGTGCTCATTCCAGACACCCTGACCTCCAGGAGGAGCAGCCGGGGCGGGATCCTAGCCACACGCCCCACAGAATAAGTCACGACAGCTGCCCCGCAAGCGCAAGCGCCGTCCGCGGACTCAGCGCGCCTCAGAATGTGCACATCAAGCCCCGGGGGGCCTTGCCGAGATGCAGGTCTGACCCCG